TATATATATATATATAACTATTTTTTGGGTTAAAATGGCAGGACCTGACGGAAATTAATCATTGTAACTCGCAGTTACACTACGACTGAGACAGTTGAGTAAATCACTCACCAGTTGAAGATTACAAAGACCAAATCAAGCTCGATAATTAACTCGGAAACAAGACAAACAAACCTAGCCAATTACAAATTCCTGAAACTACGTAAGATAAACATATTCAAAACAAGAATTTAACGAATCCATGCTTATGTTACTAGTAAATGGTTTAATAGCAAGCCAAGCATGCACAAGGAAACGAATGTTTTCAGAGGCAGCACATTATACACAGACCTACAATGAAAAATCAAGGTCATCATCTTCCAAACCATCCCTTTGCCGGCTGATGCACCTCTCCATCATTCATAAGCTTATCCAGAACAACATTTAAATCAACAGACTGTCCATTCTCGGTCAGCTTCCTCACAGTTGCCCTAACCTGTTCCCTAGAGAAGCCCATGGTTGCAACCTTGTCAACCACATCATCAACTGCAACTCTGTTTCCAGTCGGACCTCCGCCACCGGAGCTCGACCCAGCTGGAGCGGCTTGAGGAAGTATCTTTGCTGTAGGGAGACGCTGGTAGTTTCCATTTCCACCTGACAGTGGTGCTGAAGAGAAAGGGGAGGGTTTGGAGTTATAGTGGGATGGTGAATTGCTATAGTGATATGGTTCTGCGAAGCCAGGCCCGCCATAGCTGGAAGGGATGGACATGTTCCCAGAACTAGGCCTGCTAGCTGGTGTTAGCTCGTACAAGGGAGGATTGGCTCCACCATAGTATTGATGCGGTGGTCCATTTGGGGACTGAGAAGAGGGTTGTCGGATGTTTGGAGGGTAGGACTGAGAGGGTGGCAGATAGGTGTTTGGCTCTTCTGGTTGGATTGGTGGGGAGTACTGTGGTACTTGAGGAGATGGCTGGTAAAGTTGGGACTGAGCTAGTCCATGTTGTGGTTGTGGATGGGACTGAGGCATTTGGTATTGTTGTTGATGGGTGGGTTCACTTGGTTGTCCTGTTGGAGTGTACTGTGTTAACTGATGAGATGGTTTTGAGTAAGTCTGTTCTAATGGGAGAGAAGGGATGGAAGGCAACTGGTGCTGTAAGGGTAATTGTGGGGTATAAGGAACAGGATGTTGGTTTTGCTGAGGGAGTGGAGGTGGTGGAGGTGGTGCATTAGGAGCTGGGGGTGGTGGAGGTGGAGATGGCAGGGAAGGAGTAATTGCTGACAGTTGAGGGGCTTGTTGCATAGGTGGCTGTGGTGGAGGTGGATGTGCTTGCTGCTGCTGATATTGCTGTTTCTGCTGCAATTCAGATGGTGCTAGTGAGATTTCAGATTGTTGGTGATCTGCCTTTGTTGAAAGCTGCAATTTTGCAAGCTCAAGATGAGCCTCTGCAATCTCCTGTCTGTCTCGCAGTACCTGCACGCTGGTTTGTACCTGCATATTATTAGAAAAAATATGTATTAGGCCAGTTGTCAGTGTAGCTGTCGAACAAAGAAAACATATCTGCTCTAACGCAGGAATGTTAGCATTAGCAGCATGAGCTCTATCATTCACATGGCATTAAGCTAGTATGGAAAAAAGCTCCATATCATCACAGAAATTTTTAAAAGCAACCAAACAAAATTGAAATAAGCTAAAGCTGGTAAAAAGCCATCGCAAATGACTTATAAAAACCTAGAGCTTCTACTGCAAAAAATCATGCAACATTCATTGTAAATTTGCATGACAGACTCTTGTAACAACCATCCATTAACTTAAGATGATAATAACAAATAAATGAAAAAAAAATTCAAATGAAAATCTACTAACCATCAAATAAAAAAAAACTATGAATTAAGGATCGAGAAAGTCACGAATAGGTTTTGACATTCATGGCCTTGTTCAAAAATATATTATATCAAATTGATTAACAGCAATCAATTACCAATAACAAAATAGACAAGAAAAGGATAAAAATACACCAAATAAATCATCTTGCTCATGCAAGGAGATCATCACCATTAGAAATGTTTGAGTTTCACACTTCACTAAGAAATTGAATCTCAGAAGTAAGAAATAAAGAAAAACGAAAATGTTGAAAATTCACCAAATTGAAGCAATCCTCTACCTTGTGTAGGGAGATAATCACCACCGGAAACCTTCAATTTTCTGAATTAATAAATGAATCCTGGAGGCAGAGTAGTACAACCAACTAGAAAATTCATTCAAGTATCAATTGATGTTTTTTGCACAAGAGAGATCCATTTATACTCATAAAGCCTGATAAAAACCCCTTAATCATCCTTGAGATTATAAGTAGAATTTGTAATACCTAATCATAGACAGCTGAAAAAAAGGTAAAATTGTTGAAGATGTGTTCAGTGGATACAGCATTAGAGATCAATAACAGAGGCACAAAGCCGCATCACTTAAGAAGCAGATATACTTAAGAAGCAGACATCATATCCGCTAGACGCTAGAAATTGGATGATCAGAAATAGAATCAGTAGGAAGATCACGTTTGAAGAATTGATCAGCAGAGAAGAACTAAAATAAGGAAATCAGGTCATCAATAGTTTCAGGAAGATCGTAGATCCAAAATAGAGGAATCAAGTCATAACTAGCTGTATGAAGATAAATGAAGCCATTAAAGTAGGATCTGAATCAATTCTATCTAACTAGGAAAATCGGCACCAATAAATTGTCCAAATTAAAAGTTCATTTGATAGACTTGTGCATAACTGTTACATCTAGAGAAATAATTGAATCAACACATGAAGATAAGTCCTTCCACTTCATAGGTTAGCTTTGGCATCCAGCATTGGTAATAGTTGCTATTTCCTCAAGAATAAAAGCTTCAAGAATAATTATAGCATGAAAGCTCAAAAATTATACAGATATCGCATTGAATGTGAAACTCAAAGGAAGAAGAGGAAATAAAGAAAATTCCAAAGCATTAGTTGATGATTTATGATGAAATCAATTCAAATACGTTTAGAAATGAACCAATACAAAAAAATTTTAAGGTTTTCATATTATGTGCATTAATCTCAAATTATTATATGACTTTATATGGTTGCATTTTTCTAATAATTAATTTCTTATGGATATTGGTAGAAACACATTTAAGGTTGTTTGTACGGATAATTGCTTTATTGCTAATTTGAATTTCAAATATCATATATATTCACATCTATAGTACATGCCTCGTGGTGAATATGAAACTGATGTAAGGGATATGATGTGTTAAATGATGATTCTTAAACATAAATATTTCCTAGATAATATACTATAATAAATTCACAAATAAGAGCACAATGAAAAAAAGTTTTTAAAAATTATTAGATTTTGAAAATTTTTGGTCTGATCAATTCAATAAGATGAATTTGTTAAATTGATGAACAAAATCTTTATATCAAAAAATGTAAGCAAAATTATCCAAAGATTAATAGTGATGAATTTTATGTTTAAATTAAAAAATATTTTGATATGTCAATGCTATTTAATTTTTTATCATAAGAACCTGCAATCATGAGCCAATATACAAAAAATACAATTGCTATCAATTGATCAGTAGAAGTAGAGACAATTTCAGCCCAAGCTTCATTAAGAGTTACATTATTATATTGTTCAATTGACTTATTAATTTCAATATACAGAATTTATTCCATTTTAAAATAAAAAATAGATTTAAACTCTAATTCAATTTTAAGCTCAAATATGACCATGTATTTAGTTTCAGCTGTCAGTCTTGACTCAATCAATTTTAGTTATAAATCATGACTATATTTTAGTATAGGATCTAAACATCTTTAACAAAAACAACAACAAGCCTTTATCCCACTAAGCGAGGTCGGCTACACGAATCCTTTTTCTCCATTGTGTCCCACCGAGTGTCATATTTTCATTTAATTCTAATAAATTGAGATCATCCTTAATACAATACGCCCAAGTCTTTTTAGGTCTACCTCTACCTTTCTTAACATAATTCGAATCTTAAACATCCACTCTCCTAGACAGATCATCAAATGGTCGACGTTTAATGCGACCGTACCATATGAGGGTGCGTTTGAGACAGCTTATCAACTGCGGAGGCATTTTCAAAATGTCGTCTTACCGTTTCGTTCCCGCGTTCAGACTGTTTGTGGGAAAATGACGTTTTTACTTTATGTTAAATGCGAGCCGCGGAGTTGGGTCTGCGGCCAGCCGCGGAGTTGGGTCTGCGGCCCGCATTTTGCAAAATTATTTGGCAGGGTTGCCCTCGTTCCCATCCAAGAGAAGAGTCGCAGAGGAGAGGAGAAGAAGACCTCAGTTGAGCCTTCCTTCGCATGTAGACACGACAGGAAAGCGGTGCGGTGACGTCGACGTTGGATTCATTCGGCATTCTTAGGGAGAAGGAGAAGCAACGAGGCAGTGATCGAAGAAGGAGGACAAGATGAGTAGCTCTGTCGACTGTCGCGAGTCGCATACGAGGAAGAAATGGAGAAGGCGAGTCGCCGAGGAACTCCTCTCCATTTGGGCATCACTTCTGTGCTTGAGAGAAGATAGAAGGAGCTCCTAGTGCAAGGAGCAGGTCAAGCATGGCTTTTCTTCGCGCAAATTTGGGCGAAGTTTGCGGCTTTTAGGTGAGCTTCAGGTTTTTTTTTCTTTTAATTTCATGATCCATGACTGAAAATTTTATAAGTTCTATTTTTCAATTTCTTCGTCTATTTTTCGCTAGTTTTATATATAAGTATAGATATTAATAATATAAATTTGGAGTGGTACTTGATTAATCATGGATTGACCAGAGCACTGTTATGAGCAATGTTATATGTTTGGTTCTTAGTAGGAGGGAGAGGCTCTTTATTGTAGCGATATTCCTTCGCATCGACCAAATTATCATGTTCATCTTTATCATCATCTCGTCATTCTTGATATTTCATACTTTATTCATCGCTGCATCGACCAAATTAACCACAATTTTTCATCTATTTTTCAAATTCTCACTCAAGTATCAAAATCCATGGTAAACACCGAACCCCTATATAGCTATGACAGTTTTGTTGCAAACAGCACTACTAGGCAAGAACAAAATGGACATTTATCCACAAACAGCTACAAATCAGTTATTTTTCAAATGCACAAACCAAACAATCTGTCAACTTATCTGGATCAGCTGCTGATCAGTAACTTATCCGGATAAGCTGCTTATTTGGATAAGTTAGATAAGCTGCAGCTGCCCCAAACAGACCCTAAGACTACTCTTTCTAATCTTGTCTACCACTGGAGCTACACCAACACTTTCACGAATATATTTGTTTCGCAGTTTGTCTCTAAGTGTCAAGCCACAAAGCATTTTCATCTCAGCAACACTTAACTTTGTTTTATCTTTCTATTTTAAAGACCAACCTTTTGCATCATTAAGCATTGTAGGTCTCATCAACATCTTATAAAATTTTATTTTAAATCTAAGCATACGTTTTTATCACACAATAGCCTGATACATTCCTCCACCGCAACCAACCCAACTTAAATTCTACTAATAACATCCCCATTTATAGCACCATCACTTTGAACAATTTACATGAGATATCTAAAATCTTCACACCTTTTAATAATTTGATCACCCATAGTTAAAATTCTACCACTAGAGCTACTACTACTATTAAAATTACATTTCATGTATTTAATTTTAAATCAACTCAAACGAAGGCCTTTAGACTCCAATATAAGACCTCCATACTTGAAGTTTTTTATGAACTCTTTCTCTAGTTTCATCCACAAGAAGGATATCATCAACGAAAAGCATACACCAAGGCATATCCTCCTGTAAATATCCAAGAAGAGCCACCATAACTAAAGCAAAAAAATACGAGCTTAATGTTGATCCCTGATGTCACCTAACTGAATAGAAAAATACTTGGTCAATCCTCCTGTTCGAACACAAGTAAAAGCTCTAATGTTATTTTTAATGACTTGAATACAAGATATATCAAAAGTTTTCTTCTCAAAAACTCTCTGAAGAACATTTTTTGGAACCTTATCAAATGCTTTTCTGAATCAAAAAAAATCATATGTAGATCCCCATTACTCTCTTTCCAACCACTCAATAAATGTATAGCTCCCATAGTAGACTTACCCGACATAAATCCAAACTGATTATGAGAAATTTGTATCACGCCTTAGCCAATGTTCAATCAACCTCTCATAATTTTAAAGTATGACACATTAACTTAATTCCTATATAATTTGTGCACACTTAGGAATCCCCTTTATTCTTAAAAATTGGGATCAAAATGCTCTTTCTTCACTCCTCATATATCTTTTTAGTTTTTAAAAATATATTAATGAGTTTAGTAATCTCATAAATATTTGAACACTTTAATTGGGATATCATCAGATCCTACTTATTTTCCACCATTTGTTTTCTTCAAAGCATCATCAACTTCCTTTTTATTAATGCGACAGTAAAA